ACAGGAAAAATCTGAAGTTGTGGCTTCTTATATACTAAGAGTAGGCCTACAACGAGATGACAAGAACTTATCTCTCTGATGTTTCTATCATAGTCAGAACAGGAACTTTTGGACCTCCCCTCGTATGGGTGAGAGGGAGAATCCCCATTTCGCACTGCAATGGTTTGTCACCTCTCACTGTAAAATCGTCACTGTGCAAAAACTTCCAAACTGATTCTCACAAAACGAAGTGTGTTTGATTGTAGTCTAGATATTCTAAGCAATGACATAAATTGCAGGCACCTATCTCGATTAGTGAATATGTGACAGTTAAATTTAAAATGTGAAACTTTTTTTGACCCACCCTGTATATGCTCTTTTTACTGATGAATCTCTCAAAGTTACAGTCCTGCTCATATTATTAGACTCGGCAAGAAAAAATGCTCAAGAAAATCGACTGAACCTATTCTGATATTTCTGTAGTTTTGGTTGTTGATATGTTTTTTTCTTTCTCCATAACAGCTTAGAAGATGAAATTCATCAGAATTTGATAAAAGAATAAGGTTAACTGGGTTTAAAGGCTGCATACCTGATGAAATCCAATACTTTTCAATACCACTTGCTTTCAGGCAAATAATTATAAAAATTATAGAAAATTTGCAAAGTAGTACCAGAGACTACACTTTCCACATGTGGATGCATCTTGGATGTGTGTTTCTTGTCATTTGACTGGCTGTTGTTGCGCAAATCAAATATTTTGTATCAATGGCTCAGCAATTCCATACCTGTTTTTCCCCAACATGACTCAGGCCTATTTCTAAGTAAAAATATTCCAGTAAACACATAAATATCCAGATGATAAAGTTAAGGTACAATATAGTGAAAATTTGTGAGTGTTAAAAAATAATAGTTATCATGGTCCAACTTGCTTTTTTTTTTAGCTTGAGTCTAATGATATGAGGAGGGTCTGTACTCTTGATTTTTACATGTGGGGGAAAAAAAGATGAACTTGATTCAAGGCAGTCAATTCTAGGTTAGGTGCATTGCATGAATTATCCTGATGACAATTTCAGGCATTGTTAGTTTGTCTGATGTTCTACAGATAACAGAAGCTTCAAAGAGTAAACCCATCACACAGCATCAAAAGACATTGTACCAGAGTGAGGACTGAAAAACCTGGATGCCAGGAGATACCCATGCCAGTGAAAGGTTAAAGAGGCAACTTGAAAGATAATGGCCCTGACCATGACTTGCAAGGGGGGAAGATTGTGAAGAAAAAAAATTGAAATGCTGTGCTTTTCTTTGGTTGTTTTTTTTTTGGTCCTCCCTGTTAGAAATCTCTCTTCAATTCAATTTAATTTAGTATGAAATAGTTGAGGACTATAGTAGGACTAGGCTAGACAAAGAAAGATGGAGAGGTTTGGTCAAGCTTCTCAAGTAATCTTTTTTTTTTTTTACATGTAAGGTTGGTGCTTCAGGCATAGAGGACTTTGATCATCATACCATCCTCGAGAAGCTTTAGGGCTTCTAGATGGTATGATTGGCATGGTCATTACATGACATTTCTGCAATGTTGATATTCATGTTGGATGAGGATGGTAGTGGTTCAAAATCTGGGTTGATTTATTGACCAGTCTGTCTGTTAAAGCATGTCATTGTGTGAAATTGTGAAGCCTCAGTGATTCAGATTTCCTTCTTAGTATATGTTGGAAATCGAATGGACCAAATGATCCCATATGCAAACATTCATTTACCAGGTGGTGTCAACTGCATCAGGACCAAGCATCAGCACTGTGCCAGTCTATTCTGGGACTGTAATCTTGAAACCTCAAGAGCCAAAAACCACAAAGAACAAAGCAGTCTGGTATCACCCTGACACTAACAATAAATCCATCTCCTGCATACCCAATCTCTGTGACAAGGAAGTCCAAACAGGTCTGTCATATGTATCAGTAATGATTATATTAAGTTTCTGTGTGTTTGGAGTTTGTTTTTTTCCTTCATTATTTTTAGGGCTTGATATGAAATTTTTTGGCATTATTGACTTGAGAGTGGGTCCATTTAAAGCCAGATATGTTGTTGGACTTTTCTTCATTTGTTTGAAAAAATTTTCCCCTTTTGCCAATAGACACATTGTAAGTATCATTCTCTCATGATATGATTCTCTGAAGAAAAGAGAGAGGCGAAAGATTATAAAAGGATTGCAGTGAATTTAGTTTCCAATTTATTCTGTCACAGATATGACATCTACCCTGGTACCTGTCCCCGTTCCTCTGTTTGTGCCAGTGCCACTGGCCATGTATCAGCTGCCTCTTCCACAACCCGTTCCACTGCCTCTTCCTATCCCTGTCCCAGTCTTCATCCCTACTACGCGCAAGTCTGCCGAAGGCATCTTCCAGGAAATTCAGGTGAGTCCATCTCAGTGTCATCTGCTTCCTAATATCAATTTTTGGCTAATGTGTCCTAAGAAGAAGACGTGCCCAAATTTTTGTGAATGTTGAGCACTATATGCTGGAAGGAGATATGAGGGTCATTCAAGGTTTACCTGGACTTTTATGCAAGGCAGAGTACTGTATATCGATTAATTTTTTGTGGAGAATTCGTCTTCATATTGTTGTTAACCCATAGCCCCAATCGTGTTTCCTGTTTTAGTACATGTGCTGAGAACTAAGATAGCAGCAATAGAGGTAACAAAGATGGTGGAACAGCAAATCATTATGAAATTTCTGACCAACAAAAACATCAAACATATTAAAATTGATAGACGATTGCCTGCACAGCCTGAGCACTTGATACCAATATGAAACGTGTGGTGCCTTTTTCCAAGGTCTATAAATTGAGTCCTCCCAGCAACTTCAATTGCAGTATTATTCCTGGACACACCTAGAGAATCCATCCATTTGGGTTGAAACAAATGAATCTTCTTGCTTTCAATCAAATGCCATAGTATGGATGTCATGCCAGCTCTCTTTGTGGGTTTCTTCTGGGAGTTCATAACTCAGGCTCCTCACCAGTATCATCAGTATACTGTGGTATTGAGCAGTGGTATATCAACTGAGAAATTTATTGCATACCACAATACCCTACTGTTGTCTACATATTTGGAGTAGAATTGTTGATCATTTAGTGTGCAACATTTGAAAGTTATGAAATCATTCATAAGCATACTCAAGTGAGTTCTGATGAGCAATCATTCCCCAATTAATGTCACTTTAAAAGATTAAGGAAATGTTATTTTAACCAGGGCAGAATGTTTGGTTGATTTAGCTTTGCCATATGGCTTTTGTGTTCTTTCTGGTCATTAATGGGAAGTTTGTTACTAATGTTGATGGCTTTGTCTTTTAGAAAATTCGGGAGAAGATCCCAAATGACCCATATGAGGCAGAGTTGCTCATGCTAGCTGAGGCAGTGGCCAGTCCCAAGGGTGTGGATGTGGAGAGCAGTCCCAGTGAGGATGAAGGTGATCCTAAGAAGGATTCACCTGATGACAAGGAGTCTTCTTCCTCCAACAGCCAGCCTTCCTCTTCCCTTTCTGCATCCTCTTCCCCTATGCTGAGTGGGTGTCCATGTACTCAATGGCATTTACTGGAAAAAAAAAATGGTTGAGTAGACATAGCAACTAGGATAGGATGATATATTGACAGTGGAGAAATCTTATTATAATTGAAAAATAAACTAGATATGGATGCAAGAATTGATTCTTCCTTATGAAAAAAAGTGGAGTATTTTTTTATAACATACCTTTATGCAGATTTGTTCCTTCTCTGCAGAAAAGTCACGGCCAGAGTTGCGGAAGAATGTGGCAAATCATGTCCCAGTAAAGAATTCATCAGACAATGGCCTTCATTGTGCAGATGTGAGTTTCATCCTTCTGCCTTGCTGTTTGTATGAAGACAACTTTTGGTGATGCATATCTCATGTTTCAGGAGGACTTAGCAGATTTGGAAGAGGAGATCAAGCCATATACTGTGGTCCAAAAGCTTAAAAATGAATCCACAGGTTCATATTCCACTAGTAAGATACCAGGAAAACGAAAGAGGCGGCGGCTTCGACGGGGAAGCCTCTTCACCCGATCCAAGCGATCGCGGGTCAGTCTTGATGACAGTGGAGAATCCAGTCGTGGTTCTGGAGATGTGTCAGATACTGACTCCAGGCCCTCCCTGAAGGTAATCCTTGATTCATGGCATGACAGTATGTTTCAGCAATTGATGCCTTTGCAAGTACAGTAGTAACTGGGCTTTATGATGTAGTCCTCCTCTCATATACTCTGTTGTTGCATTCTTTCTGCAAATGACTTAACTTCTATCAAATCAGCATCTCATTATCCCTTGAGGAAGAACTAAGGACCAGGAGATGCTTATTGTAATGAAACCTTCTATGAACTTATTGTTGCATGGTCTCAGAAAGAATGTATTGATTGATTCTAACTCATGACACCAGAGTGAGTGCTTTTGATTTTTACATGAATTGTAACTAAGATTGAGATTGAGGAGACCCTAGAAGTGCCATTATGCACTTTGTCCTTAATGACAACCTTGACTTTGGGTTTCATTATTGGCAAAAATGCTATTGACTCAATGAAATCAATGAAGCCACCTGTGAATTGTTTTGCTATATTGGGTTTTCAATATATCAGGAGAGAGTCATATTGGCTCATATATCTCCATTTAGGGATTTGAATCTATATTATGCCTGTGTATACATGATTTCATCGTCCCTTGGGTATATTATGGGGGCCCAATGGCTTTTGAGGATTTTATGGACATCAGTATTTTAACATATCAGCTGCCACATGTCCTGTAGGCAGGTCATGTGGCCTGGCTGTTAAAGCATCAGAAAAATGCATTGGCAGCTGACTTGTTGATGTATAAAAACCTCCACTCTGTACAGGGTGTGCACCTCCCAAAATCTTGCAAAATGAAGCACGCACAGGATGAATGGGGTGAAGGAGCCTGATAAAGAGCTGAGCATGAGGACTGAAGTGCCTCATGTTGTGTTTGCATCCCCCACCACACCTACATTCACCCACATTCACATTCCCCCAGTCACACACATTCTATATGGGCCAAATCCCTCATTCTCATAGGCTGTGCAGCTGAAGCACTGAAGTGAAGAGCTGGATGCAGATAAGAACTAACCCTTCTGCATTTCCATCAAGAGGGAAATTTTATTTTCCTCTTATCAGTAGAAAAATTCATTATATTCAATGTCCTTTCTCTCCAGGACATGGAAATTCTTTTTTGATTTCTGACATGAGTTTATCTGTTCATTATACTGAGAGTTGACTGCCTTTCACTCCTATCAAAACCTTGATCCATGAAACTTGATTCAGGATCCAGGTTGCTGCTGAAAACATGCATTGTGTATTTTTCATACCAGTATGCTTGGTATGGAAGTGAAATCAAATAGTTTCTTTGATAATTTCCTATTTTAGTACACCTATGGAGTGCGGGCTTGGAAGCAGTGGGTGACAAAGAAAAATGCTGAGCTGGAAAATGCATCCACAGGCAGGCGCAAGCTTAAGCTCTTCAAGACAGATCTTCTCCGGCTTGCTGCTGATGAACTCAACTATGCCCTCTGCCTTTTTGTGAAGGAAGTTAAACGGCCAAATGGAGAGGAATATTCACCTGATTCAATCTTATATCTCTGCTTGGGTTTGTGTCCTCCTCACTGAAGCTCTTCTAATAGTCTTTAGATTTTGGGAATGACATAAATAATTGGTGGTATGGCATGCAGGGATTCAGGTTTATCTGAACAAGAATGGACGCATTGACAACATCTTCACAGATGCCTTCTATGAGAAGTTCACTGAATGCCTGGATGAGGTCCTGAAGAGGTTTGATTCTCCTGCACTGCTTGATCAACTTGGTCAGTTCCAGATTCACTTTGCTGAATTATCTCTTCTATGACAAGGAAGGGAAGTGGCAAAGTTTGACAACAGGCACTCATCTGATGACTTTAAGTTCTGACAGCCTAAAGTTGTCTTTTCTAATTATAGATTTTCAGGGCTTTGTTGTACATACATTTTAAATTTGCATTGTCTTGTAATATATGTTGTGAAATCTCCACTTTTTGAATGTTTAGAATAGGATCTCAACTTTTATTATGAAAGCAAGGCTACTGCTATACTCTAATGAAGCGGTTCCCAGATTTTGAATCGCAACCCACTCGCTGACACTCACATAATTTCGCAACCCACTGGAATCTAGAACGAGGTATTTTCAAAGTAATCATGACATGAGGAAAACTGACCTTTACTGCAGGGTATGTTTTATCCTGAACACATGTGGATATAGTGATTTTTTATACTGGGAAAATGTACGTGATCCACCTTGATGCCTCTTGCGACCCACAGTTTGGGAACCGCTGCTCTAATGTATATGGAATGTGAATATGAGAATAGTTCTAACCTGATGAGCAAGAATTGGGAGAAGTGGTAACAGCTCATGATGTTAGAGTGGGTCACATTGAAAAGTTGTTGAACCTGAACTTAAGGTATAGTGACTTAGAGAATGGGTATTCATGTCATTATTTATGTTCATGAGATGCCCTTCGTCCATGAAGGGCATTTGAAGTTATAGTGAATCCGTTTGAATCGCGGGTTGTCGGATCTATGCAGCACTGGCCTAATGAGGGTGATAAGTGGGAAGCATCAATCAAATCGGCCACCCCCGAACCCAAGGGCGACTCTGCCCCTTTTTTGAGGGGGGAAGGAGGAGATCAATGAATGTATGAGGAAAGGTATTTTTAGACTTTTGGGGAGTAGAGGGTTGAAAGTAGAGGAAGCTCTGCCACTGGTTTCCTTCTTCACTCCCCCTCTCCTCTCATTAATCATAGAGTTTCCCCTTTGGTCCTAGTGCCGCCTGATATGCTAATGTCTTCCTTTGCTTATCTCTCTCAACCTGTGATTTGAACGGATGGACTATAAATCAAGGGAGAGATATTGCTCCCATAATAGGGTATATCATCATGGCTTCCTTACCTGATCCCTGATGGAGCAGTCGTGGTACTCCTACATCATAATATTACAGAAACAAGGTTGATCATGGAAGCCAGTGATTAGGGCCTCAGTGGCTTCAACAGAGAGTTTTGGCATCATGTCACACAAAATTATGCCTAAATCATGATCTGCAGGTATACTGAGACTAGTCCTAGGTCAAGGTCTGTAGGAATACAAAGACAATGACCTGCAAAAGATCTCTCTGACATCTATAGTAGGTGTGAGTTTTAGCTCTTTTTGACTTTGTTTCACAGATGCTTGACAACTTTCAAGCAAGTTTATTAATTCAATCAAAAATATCTGAATATACAGGGTGCAGCAAAAATACCTGGACAAAATCAAAAAATGAAATAATTTATTGAAAATGACCACATTTTTACGACCAGTGAGAAAAAAAACAGTTTACAATCTCGGGATCACAATAGAATCACTTGTTTTTCAAAATGGCCACCTCTGACTTCAATGTGCTACTTGAACCTCTTCGGAAAGTTGTCAACAACTTTGCTTACCATCTCCAAAGATAAACTAATGTTCTGATTGTTCATTATTTGCAATGATTGTTATTGTTTTTGTTTGAACTGAGATGATAAAATAAACCATTTGGTCTAATTTCAAGATCATTTCATTAAATGATACGAATCAGGGTTCTGGTCAAACAGATCTGCCAAATATTTTAATAACTGTTTGACTTAACTGACTATTTGAACTCTATTCAAATTTTTAGGCAGTTTAGTCTCCTGGTTGCCAAGAAACTCATAAAATATAAGGGTGTACTTTTTTTATGGGCACCCTGTATATGGCAGTAGCCTCCCCACTCTCCTTTTTAGTTTGTTTCTGGTCAGCTCAAAATACATCTTATTCATAATTGGATGCTGCCTCATCCAAGGTTGTGAGGTTGAGCCTGGTTTCTTTTATGAACATAGCACATGTTGACAGGCTCATGATGCAGAACATAGTTTAGGAGGGATACCTTTGAAGGGGTGTTTCTGATATTGTCATTGAGGATCACAGGTGAAGGAAGCCCTGTCTTATCACAATGCATTAGTCTGGTCAGTATACCAGTACGTGTACCCCTCCCACATTTAACTGGTCATGGCAGAGTAATTAACCATACAGTGTAGGGGGAAGGTGTAATGCATGTTGTCAACAATTTCTCTGATTCAACAGGCACCATTGACATTGGCAGCTGTTGAAAGACCTCTAATAGGAAGATCAAGTAAAAACTGAAATGGAGAAAAGAGCTGCAGCTGCAGAGGTGCCACCATCTTATAAATCTTGTATATCAAGGGCCTGATCCCAAAAATTTGGCATCATTATTGATTTTTGCTGCTTCTTCCAAGAGCTTTTAAGAATGAGATATGCATATGATGAAAAAGCAAAATAGCCCCCCTAAAATATTGTGTTACCTTACTGGACCACTTGAATTAATCAAAATATGATTTTGTGTGTGTTAGTTTTTGAGATCTGAAAGGGATCAAAGAAAGGTTTGGGAAGGGGATCTGGCCTAGGGATTGATTGCCTATGCCTACCCTTTTGCTTGTTGTGGTTCATATTTAAGCGCAGATAATGAAAGGGCACAAATTTAGGTGAGCAAAGAAGACTCTTAAGAGGTATATTCAAAATAAATTAAAGATACATGTACCAAATTTATTCTATTTGTACTGGTATATCTTATGATTCATGTGTCATGTTTTTTTATGTTGCAGGTGCTGTGGGCACACGTGTGGAGGAGGAACATTTGTGGGAAAGCAGCCAGCTGGGAGCCCATTCTCCTCAAGTTCTCCTCTATACAGTCATGTACTACAACACCAAGCATTTCCTTCTCTGTGTAAGTTCCTGACCAGGGGTTCCTCTCAGATCTTTGAGATTTTCCAATGATATCGGTATCACTTGTACTATACTCTGTGTCTCAATACCTTATCTTCTCTGCCTGACAGACTGTGAGTGAACACATGCGTCTTGCATTCCCTCACATCATGAAGAACTGGATCAAGTCCAACAGTGAGCCAAAAGGTTCTGTTGCCTCAAAGTTCACCCTACGCTATTACCCTCCTCCAGCTGTCAAGGGTCAGTCATCCAGTCATGATTACCCTTTTAGTGCCACTCAACTAATTTTTTAGCTATGTCAACTACTTCCAAAATGCTGTGGGCTGATTTCTCTGCCATCTGACAAGAATCCCAATGACATGAAGGAAGAAACCTAATGAAAAGCTGTAGCTGAAAAATCAGCCTATGGCATTTTTAGCAGTAGTACACCTGGCTGAAAAATCAGTTGCACAGCACTAAAAGGGTTAAGGGTTTTGGACAATTGGATGCTAATGACTGGATTCTATGGGTTTGTGATCTGGGCAGCTGACATGGGTGAGAAGGGCAAGAAGTTGCTGGAGCAGCGAGAAAACCTTGAGAATCCTTTACGGTGCCCAGTCAAGCTTCATGAATTTTATCTCTCCAGATGGTAGGTCTGCAGATCTCTTGAGTCATGTTTTCATCAACATAATCTTAGATCTTCAACTACTATACATTCCCAGGGTTCCTTAGAAAATCCACATAGCAGGCAAGCCAGTGCTGTAATTGGCATAAAGAGCCCAGTGTAGTAGGAAGGCAGTTGTCTACAGTCCACATAGCCCCTCCCATCCTGCTGAGAAAAGGCTGCTGGGTGATGAAAACTCCCATCTACTGGCATAGGAATTTTTATGTTTGTCATGCTTCTTCCTGAACAGCAACACATTGGGCTCCCCTTATCTTCTGCTTTCTTCCTCTTCTTGAATGTAATTTAATATGCACAGGCAATGAAGAAGTGTAGGCTGAAGGGAGTCCACTTTTTCATCTTGATCTTCAGAGAGGGGTTCATGTGGGACCTGGCCCTGAGAGAGGAGAAGGGTTGAGATTATTAGAGGTTGCTGGAGCAAACTTAATTCCTGGAGGGGGAGTTAGCTTATCAGCCTGGCATGCTTGCACACTTTGCAGGAAACCCTGATATACCTATAGAAAACTCTTGTTGAGTTTTACAAGTGTTGGCTGGCATTTGTGAAACTCTGATCCAAACTCAGGGCCATGGTTCCTGGAAATTTTTTATCCATCTCTCCTCTCTCTTTTGGTACACTCTATCTGATGCCTCCATATCTGATTCTTAACTTTCTCTTGGTTTTTTTTTCACCTAATCAAGTACATGGCAGGTTGCCAGGGGAAGGGGGAGTGGGAGTAGGAATTGAACTAGGAGTGGGGAGGCCTTAGATCAGAGCACTTGTTTGTCATGGCTAAGTAAGCCAGTGCCAGGTGTGAGAAGCCAGGATCCTAGCCTGAAAAGAGGTTGCAAACTGCTGGACTTGGTATTGTGAAAGGTAGGCTTATTGAATTCATGCAGGTTCATTTTATCCTTTCTGAGCAAAACTGATTGGGAAGTCTCAAGCATTAGCAAAAATCTAATGAGTAAGGTGGGTGGAAGAGCAGTTCAAAGCCAGTCTTCGATGGCACTTGATGCAACATGTGATGTGTATGCTGGGGCATTTTTCATAAATATGTGATCATTTTCAAAAGAAAAGGGGGGGAATTAAAAAATGTTAGTCTTTCAATTAAACTTGATTACCATCACAACAATAGTGTCACTCAAAAATGTTTTAGGCTATTGGACACCCTATTCCCTGTTAGGCTAAAAACTTTTCAGCTATGTCTCAGTGTTTTGATTCCAGATGAAATTCTCAGACTTAATATTGCTAAGCTTGATAACTTGTTGTCATTGTGACTATTTAGACCATCATTGCACGAAGTCAAATAGCTCTGTGGGCCATAGTCACCCCATCCAACACTCATGTAACCCTGTGGTGGGCTGCATGCCTCCTGTAGGCCATGTGTGGGGGGCATCCTTGAACCAAGCAGTTATGTTTGTTTGGTGTTCTTGATGTTATCATTGTATGCCTGTTGTTCATTCCAAATATGCAATACATAACAAGAAGTATGAAAACAATTTTGTGTTGCAGATGAGTTGTGAATACCAAATACCTTTTTTGAATAGGAAGTGGGAAGCAAATGTAGTTGAGTTAATATGTGTAGCCTGGAGCAGCTGGGTCAGTCCTGTAACTTCAGCCACTAATATATGCAAAATTATGAAATATCTAAGTGAAACCTGATAGAAATGTTTAAATATAATTGTATCAAGTCTTTTGATAGTTGACAATACATTTGTAATCTGATTGTGCTGACACATTTAGTGTGATAGTAATTATGAGCATGCCATAAACGAAGGATGGAATTTGCTCTGTTTTCCAGTCCGGAATCGATACGAAACAAGAACGAATTGTTTTACCTATACCCGGAACGGTCATGTGTCCCAGACAGCCCTGTTTGGTACTCCAGGAGGCCATTGTCAGAAGATGCCATTGCCAAGATGCTCCATTGCATTCTTCTTGTTCGGGAAATCCAAGAAGTCCTTCTCAAGCGGGACTGACTTACACCCACAGTATATCATGAATGATGTTTCCTTCTTTCTTTCTTCAGTGACTTCCTTGTTCACTCTTCATGTATTGTTGAGTAAGAGAGGGCATCTGCCTCTGTCATGCCATTGGGAGAATATAAATCTCTCTGCTGTTTTTTATGGTATGACAGACTTCTCATTTTTCACCTATGCCAATATAGTGATGACTGGTTGGGTTAATGCAGTTGGGAATTTTCCTTTCACAATCATCCTAGTTGACCCTATTATCAACTTGGCAAGTTGATATCTTCCAAGTAATTGATTGTGCCTGTCTTTGTGCTCTATTTTTGCAAGCTAAAGAATAGAATTGGCCAACTTTTTTTAATGCCTAAAAGCATTCACAATTGTACCTACTTTTGGAGCCATGGTTAACATCAGTATGTCAATTGTGAATGACTGCTATTTTATGATCTTAAGCTGTTTCACTGTAGTTGGAGTATCAGTGACTATATAGGGTGACCCAAAAGTCCTTGGACATGATTGAAATGACGGAGGTTTTAACACGTTGACTACCAGCCTATTTTTGCTTGTCCGCCGCGTGGGACCCAGCGCATTTTTTTTGTCAAAAAATGCGTCCTGCCATCAGGACGCATGNCGCATTTTTTTTGTCAAAAAATGCGTCCTGCCATCAGGACGCATGGTCCCAGAAAACATTTTTTTTGCTGAGTGTTTTTAAAATATTGACTTTTTTGGAATTTTTATCAGTAATTACGAAATCATAATCTTCTGGAACGTTCTCAACAGTTCCAGAGGGTATTCATTGAAAAAAAATTGCATCCTGGCATCAGGACGCATTGTCGCCAACGTGTTAATCAATTCCCACTATTTTTTTACATTCAAGCATGAGGCACCACTCTCTACTCCCTCCAAGTTTGACCCAGATTGCTCTTAATACCAGGATGCAGGAAGCCCAAGACACTATCATTTTTCACCACAAAAATGGACATTTGGCAAAGCAGCTGCTGAAAGTGCCTCGTTCCATGGTTTACAATGGTTGGCAAAACACCTCTGCATTTTGTTGCACTGCAGGTGTAAATCAATCAATAAATGTAAATCAATGCTTCTATTATTGAGAAGAGGTCTTAGAGAAGGTTTTACTACCCTGGTCCCAAGAGCACTTCCATGGCAGAAGCTGGGTCTTCTGGCAAGACTCAGCCCCAGCAGACAAGGCTAAAAGCACAATTGAATGGTGCCAAAAAAAATTTCCTGGATTGATCACACCAGAAGAATGGCCTTTCAGCTCATCTGATCTGAATCCAATGGATTACAGCATCTGGTCCTATTTGGTGGCCAAGATCTGTGCAAAAGCCTACCGAATCTCAGTGGCTCTCAAACGTGATCTCAGGCATGCATGGGATGAAATGCTGATTGAGCAGCTTCGAAACACTGGATAATTTCCCAAAACGATTGAGGCAAGTTGTGGCCATCAAGGGTGGCTATTTTGATGAGTAAAATACTCATTTTGTAGGATTTTTTATTCTCTTTCCATTGGTATAGTTTGTTTTGCTTTAGTTCTTCATTACTAGGAAATAAAGTTATTTTTCCTTGTCCAAGGACTTATGAGTCACCCTGTAGATCATGCTTGTATCTGGTTCCCTTGAAATATTGCACTGGTGGTCTTCGCACAACTTTTGTAAATCTTGCATAATTTCTGTAATTTAAAAGTAGTTGGCTAAATACTGACTTGGGCGGTTTACATTCACTACAGCAGATGAGTATACAGCATTAATCAAGAGTCCTTACTCAAAGTTTTTAGTTTTTGAAGGTTTTGACTTTGAAACCTTGAAGATCTTAAAGACAACATTCGTAGAGTGTACATCTGTTTCATTGTGTTTGTGAAAGTTGTTATCACCAAGATTGTGTGTAAACATTTACATGGCATGCAGTTTGAACAACTCATAGGACTATGAGTAAGGACTTTTGATCCACCCTGTTATTCACTACAGCAGATGAGTATACAGCATTAATCAAGAGTCCTTACTCAAAGTTTTTAGTTTTTGAAGGTTTTGACTTTGAAACCTTGAAGATCTTAAAGACAACATTCGTAGAGTGTACATCTGTTATAGGACATATAGAGTGTACATCTGTTTCATTGTGTTTGTGAAAGTTGTTATCACCAAGATTGTGTGTAAACATTTACATGGCATGCAGTTTGAACAACTCATAGGACTATGAGTAAGGACTTTTGATCCACCCTGTATAGCCTCATACAGTCACCATATTGTGCTGATTGCATTTGTTGCATACCAGCCCTTGGCAGTTACCTATGGCTCACAATGTGGCTTCTAGTTTTGAATTGAAATAACTCAAATTTCAACATAGGTAGATGTTGCAATTTCCTTCGGAAGAATACTCATCCAATTTCTCAAAATACCATGACATTGCATTGCTAGGTTTTCAATTGTGGTATTGGGTGTCCGCTGTATTCTTTGCAAATGCGCTTGGCCATGGAATGTAGCTTTTTCGCAAAATCAGGCATTGGGGGATTTGCATGCAGCAAGGTTTAAAAGTAAAAAAACTGACTTAATTTATGGCTGATGGTCCTATCTCATTGGAAGCGCATGCTTTGTTCCGTTGTGTTCGAGTCAAAGTCACTTCCCATTCCAGATCTTGAAGATGAAATTGTGGTTGCCGTTGCTATGACTGCAGCAGACGAATCACAAGCTACCAGTCAAAACCTAATATTGGGTCCTTTCATCTCAATTCACCAAATCGAAAAATGTGTTAATTGACCAACTCCAATTCTTCTCTCAGGTTTATTTTTGTGATAGGTATACCGGGGGAAGCAAAAATTAAAAAAACACGTCGCTCTTTGAATATTTGTGACGCCGTGGTTGCTGCACCAACTGGGATTTTACTTTTAAAATTATTGTGTTCTGGGGGTTATGAGAAACGGATGAATCCGAAATTTCAGCTGTCTTGGTCAAACGGTCTTATAGATATGTCCCTTGAAAGTTTAAGAGGTTTGTAAAGTGACTACTCAAATGCAATATCTCTCAAATTACTTCAGCTTGAAATATTATTAATAGCTCATTTTAAAGCAAGTAGCCAGGCATCTCTAACTTATTCTATGCATTCTTCTGTGCCTTAATTCGAAGAAAGTTAAAATTTTATGAAATTCCTGAAAGAATCAAATTTTCAACCTTAAAAAATTCACAGTAAAAATCCATGTAACTGGACCAGCTTTGGAGTATCTATCATGCTCTATGAGATTAGTGCAAATATACATGTATTTCGTTTTTAGGTCCCTTCAAAATTCTATGTGGACTTTAAATTACCCTTACGGGAACTCCATATTCAGATTTCATGCGCGATATCAAATATGGTCATACAGGGGTGCTTTGCTCGGAATGTACATGGTACAAATAAAAATGATATATGGGAGACTGTATTTGGAAGCCGTCCAGTTCATATAATGTTTTGGCCATTTGGCATGCCCATGGCAGCATCCAGCTTTATTACACGCTTGATAACAAAGTTCGAAGCGAAGAAGACTGCCACGCGTCCATTCGCAAAATAGCCTTTACAGCAAACTTTTTACGTCTTACGTTACAACAGACTTGGTGCATTGGATCCGTGTGGAGAATTCTCCAGTGTCAAACACTGGTACCAACCGTACAAGATCAAAACTGTCCAGGAACTGTACGATGGTGACATTGGTCGTCGTTTTTAATTCTGTGACATCATACATATCCGCTTCTTCGCTGAGCCGACTTTCTTATTGCGTGTAGCCTGCTCTGACGAGGCCAAGTTCATGCTGAACGGTGAGGTGAACCAGCACAAAGCACGATACTGGTCTGATACAAATTCCCATTGGGTCGACGAAACGAGTGATGATTTTGTGCGGTATTTGAGGCGATATGACTGTCGAACCTTTCTTTTTCGACGGGTATGTCGATAGTGATACGTAGTACGACGTGCTCATTGTGCACGCTTTCCTTCATAAGGACGAGTTGACTGCCGATGACGCAGGGCGGTCATCTCCTTGGTTTCGGCATGAAGGGGCACCAGCCCATTTCACCTTTGCGGTGCATCAGCTTTTGGATCATTCTTTTCCTGGAGATCGGCGTGGGACTATCGAATGGCACCCGCGTTCCCCAGATTCCCCATCTGGATTTTTTTTTTTAATCTTGAAGTAAGAAGTTGACGTGTCGAGACAGATAACCTCTTTGGAATTGCGGAGACGCATCGTCGATGCATGTCGTGCGATCACTCCTGCGGTCTGACAAAGTGTACGCCAGGAGTGGGAATATCGCTTTACTCGCTACGTTGTAGTGAACGGGAGAAACTCGGAACTCTGTGTGATTCCAGAGATATGTACCTTGACTTTAATTATTTGCCAATCATGCATCATGTCTTTGTCAGAATCCGCGACACGACACGACGATGATTGTTCCCTGTAAGAGGTTTTGTTTCGACGTGTGACATCTCAGTTGTGCGTATTCATTCCTTGCAGCTCCGTAACTTGGCGCACACTCATTTGCTCGATGTTTCGTTGCGAATCGCACAGGGGGTATGAGAATCCCAATTTCAGCAGTTAAACGGGACACATGCACCTCCCCTTTTCTCTGTTCCTTTCTCTCAAGTACACTCTTAGAAAATTCCGAGCGTTTAAGGAGTAAAAAGTGAGCACCCTGTGAGCTTTTCAAATGTACTTTCTTATTACTCACCAAATGCTCCCTCATCGCTCGTGTTGAAGTGAACACCGTGAAGTTCTTTGCCAGGCCACTCGATGGAGGTAAGGGTCTCGCTTTTCGCACACTACACAAAAGTTCCCTTCCCTCTTTCCCTGGAATCGTCCCTCGCAGGATTGTTTAGTACCTTGCCATATGTCTCGCCTAGTCTTATTATAGGAATCAATAAACACGGACACTTCATCATTTGTTATCCACATATTCAAGACGTATTCTATGAATAAACATAGGCCACATAGTCCAGGCCATAAACAAGCTCATATTCCTATTGAGAACCCTTTTGGAACGCATAAGATTTTATCCGCCTAGGAGATCTAGAATATACAGTGTCCGTGAACTTCATTCAATCATACCTCAATTAAATGAGGTAATAAGGACTGATATCCCGGGCACTCCACGGAATCTATAAGAGGTGGCCCACCCTCTATGTGCTGTAATCAGTACAGGCGTTGACCTACC